AAAAAAAAAAAAAAAAAAAAAAAAAAAAAAACTGTTCTGATCAACAAGTGTGTATGTGCTGGCGTCTGAATGAATGCGTATGACTAAGCAAAGTTTGGTAGTCGGCAACGTCGGCTCGTCTGCCTGTGGATATTCGGGAGTGCCCGCGCTCCATGCAGATTATCCAGGAAAAAGTCGGCATCTGCAAGGGTGGACCATGCTGATGTCGAACACTGTACAAACGGACCCTTGAGGCGCATGCATCTCCGATGTTCGGAACTCCCATTCACCCCCAAGTATATCTAGGGGATGGTCATTGGGAAGGGTGTGAGGGCAGGAGATGGCTAAGGGGACAGTTCCAGAGCGGAGTGGGGGGTAGATAGTTGGAGGGTTTCAGGGCTGCTATGTTTGTATTCGGTGGCTAGTGGCGGCCCTTCGTGTCTACCTCGCTTGAACCTGTACGCCGACGGGCCCCCCACCCGTTGGCCTCTCCCGGATCCGTGTATAGCGCCTGCCTTAGCCCGGTGCAGCCACTCCAGGGCGAGTTGCTGGGCCCTTTCTTTCCCAAATTTTTTGGACTGGAACACCTTATATCTCGCTTGGGGTTCCTCCATCCAGAAGACTCTGAGCAGCACGAACAATCACACGTAAACGAACCTGAGTGAATTGACATGGTTTGATACATGATTCCTGCACAAAGACATGCAGGTAGAGGAATTTGCTGGCCACAGCCAGCGTGGCGACGAAGAACTGGCTTTGGCAATGCTGCTGCGAAAGATGCCGCCTTGAATGCCTGTTTTTATCTATAAAGCAAGTGTACTGCCACTCCCCTTGACTAAAGCAGTTGCTCTAAGAAGTGCCTGCCTCATTGGCTGTGGGTACAGCCGTGGATTGACGCGAAAGATGAGTTTTCAAGACCTAGGTGTTGGGCGATCTCTTCGGTTTGACCACAGGATTTACCTCCATTCTCTGCTCTCTCCATCGTATTGCAGCACGGGTTCCACGGGTCGACGGGGCCCCGCTGCAGCAATGGCTGCTAGCATCTCAGGTGGCAGAGGAAGGGGCTTCCTAAACCCTTTCCTGGTCCTCACAGGTACAGCGGCAATTTCCAACACTGTTTGATGAGTGCTGCTGCTGCTGCTGCAGACTGCATCATTTGATTCTTCCCTCCCTCCGTCCCTCCAGCGGCTACCGCCGCAGCCCGATGTGCCCTCGGGGCCTCCAGTGAACTTTCCTGATCGATCTGGTTCCCGGATATCTCCCCAGCCTGCACCTTGAGCGGTTGCAGGTCCGCCTGTGGGGGAAGGTAGTTGTTGATGTGCGTTGGCCCTTAAACAGAAGGTTGCTCCAGCGTTTCTTTTGCTGGAGGCATAAAGCATGCTGTTGCCAGAGTCCCTAACACTTCGAAGTCCGTCAGCCATTTTGTTTCTGTCTCTTACCCCTCCATCTCGCCTGCGTCTCCCCTCCCGGATGTAGAGCTTTCCGGCCTCCAGCGTTTTTCCCCCACAGAATCGGGCGCTGCAGCTAGCCAAAGGAAGAAACGAACTCCCTCCACCCTCAGCACCGCTCTCCCCCGCCTCGTCTTCAGACGACCCGAACCACTGTACCCCAGAGCACACAAATGCGTCTGCACACAAGGCTGTCCGCGGGTAACGGCTCGGGACTTGAGAGCCACCCCTTGGGGGGCCCTCAAATCCTAACAATGGTGCAAACAACCCAAGGTATGATCGGCATTCTTCCTTCTCCTCGTTGTAAAAACTGCCCATCCCATACCCGCGTTTCTTCACCAACGTATGATTCCACGACCTCATTTTGCTGCTGCTGCTCTCCGGTCCATCAAAGTCAGTCCTCTGGGGGACCGCCCATTGCTGTGCGGGACTCCCCCAATCACTGATAGGACAGCACGACTGCAGGTGGGGAGGCGTCAAGGCTACCCCACTTAGCAACGGAACAGAACCCTCCTCCGGTACAGATCGGCTCCACGAGGCACATGCAAAGCTGTCGCCTTCAGCAGTTGAAACCGTGATTCTCATTGGCAGCAAGGAATCCCCCGCCAGAGACCAGAGACCCCCCTCGCCAGACTTCTGAGCAGCACACGGGCCCTCAGTGAAATCCTGAAGGAGACAGCATCGGAGACAGAAATGCTACCCAGTAAGCAAATGCCAGGCACAACAACACGGCTCTGAGGTAGCAGAAACAAGTCCCATTCGTCGCCTTTTCCTCAGATAGACAATAGAGAGCTGCAGCATCCTGAATGGTAGTCAACCTTCAAATATTTTGTCTTCACTGCAAATGCAAATGTGTTTCGCTGCTTACGCTGGCAGTCTTCTTTGGGGGGGTCGCTTGTGGGGCTGTCTCCGCTCCCACAGGGGCCGTAGCAGCTGCTCGCTGCAGCAGCAGCTCGAGTTCTTGCTGCGGGTTCACGAGGTGTCTATCTACCGTGCAGGTGCCGCCAAAGCCCCAACGGACAGAATCCTGAAGGGCCTCGCACAGGCAAGGGGGACCCCAACAGAGACCGGCTAGAAGATGCTCCAGGCAGTAACACAAACGGGGCTCACACGGCAGAGCCGCTTGCTGGCATATCGCAGGAGCGGAGCCGCCACTTGAGGTCGAAAACGATGGCTCACTAGGACGGTTCCCTGCTGCTTTTGTCGTGGTTTCTGCTGCTGCTGGAGCTGCAGGTAGTATTTTTGCTGCTGTTGTTGATGCAGCAATTGTTGAAGCTGCTGCTGCCAGCGGTGTTGCGGTTGCTGCTGTTGATGCTGCTCCTGCTATGGCCTGTGCTGCTGTTGATGTTATTCTTCCTGTGTGGGTTACCGACGCGGCCATTGGTGTTGCTGCTGCTGCCGTTGGCGTTGTCGCAGCTGTTGTTGGTGTCGCTGCTGCTGCAGGCGTTGTGGGCAGTGCTGTCGGTGTCGTTGCTGTAGCGGTTGGCGTTGCCGCTGCTGCTGACGACAATTTTGCAGCTGCTGAGTCAGTTTCTGATGTGACCGCCCCTGCTTCTGCTCGATTGTAGCTGCTGCTGTAGGCCACTGGGAGTGGTCGAAGCGGTTGTCTGACGAGGTTATCGATGCCCGAGCTGTCGCCGCAGGTATTGCTGTTGTCCGGTTTCGGGGTGCAGCTGCGGAGCTGTTTGACTGCCCTCAGCAGAAGCAGCGGCTGCTGCTGCTTCGGCTGCTCCGGCTGCTGCGACTCTGGATTGGCCACAGCAGCGGTTATTCCAGTCTCAGCTGCCGATGTCTCTTGAGACCTGTCAGATCTAGCTTCAGCATGCAGTCCTCTTGGCACTCTTATATCCTTCCAGGAGCTTGCGAAGGCCGCTAAAGGGGCCGCATTTGAGGGGGCCCCTTCATGCGCCGCCTCCTGCATGCTGGGCGCAGGTTCTGCTGCCCCCTTTAGCAGACCACTAGGCGCATTGTCATGCTGCTGCTCGTGGATAGTGGCTTCAGGAGCACCCGGGTTGGCAGCGCTGCAGCAGCCGCTGTAGCTGGTGCTCCTTGTGCTGTTCCCGCTTGTGCTGTTCTTCCGCTCACCTAGAACAGCCCTTTTGAGGAAGAGATTCATACGCCCGCGCCACCTGTACTCCCAGCAGCTGGGGCTGCCTCCCTTACAGTTGGTGCTGCAGCTCTTCTTGCAGTTGTCGCCATTGCTGCAGTTGCTGCTGGTCTCAGTCGGCTCGGTGGAAGTGTATACAAGGGAGGACTGCCGTTCCTGTGGCCTGCTAGAGGTGCTGCAGACTGTGCTGCAGGCCATATCTTTGGTAACGCTGCAGCAACAGTTGCTGCAGCTGCAACTTTGCTGAACTTCCCACCACTTTAAGCTACCACTGGAGATGGGGCTACTGCATATGCTGCTGCAGCGATTGCTACTGTCTGCCTCGCAGCGGCTGCAACAGGGTCCGAGGCAGCCTTCGCAACGTTGTCCTCGAGAGGTGGGGCTCTCTAGAAGGGCGCCTGTTGAGCCCCATTTCCCTGCAGATTCATTGGTTCCACCCGGGGTACTACTACTGCTGCAAGTGCTGCTGCAGCATGCCCTTTCCACGGCAGGCAACGTCAGCAGCTCCGGCGGCGCCGCTGTTCCCTCCGGCTGCTCCAGCGCGCCCAGCTTCCTCCTCCCTAAAGGCCCACTGGCCTCCAAAGTGGTCAGCGCAAGGCTCCCCCTCTTGGAGTTCATGGAGACAGCTGGGCTACCCTTGGGTCCCCCTCTCGCGTTGCAGCAGGCCTCTTCCCTTTCGGGTGTCAGGCTCTGCTGGCGTTTAGCAGTAGAGCTGCCGAGCGACTGCTTTGAGGGTCTTTGCCAGGCCTATTGAACACCGCCGGCTATATTTCCAAAAGCTCTGCTTTGAAATGAACTCAGCGTTAGTGCTCCTGCTGGTGGTGGCGTTGCTGCATCTGCGGCAAAGGGTCTGCGTTGAAGGGCGGTGAAGCGTGCTGCGGAGGACCCCAAGGTCACTGGCCACGTGCAGCGGCAACTCGACACTAACAGTTTCAGAACATATGCATACCGCTTGTCTAATCTCTGGGGGAATGCCACGTGGAGTCTATATGCGGGAAAAATAAGGCGGAGGGAGGGAGCCGCCTCCGGGGATCGGGGGGAGTGGGTATCGGGTGGGTAGGCGGCAGGCGGTATCAGTATCTGCCATCTGCTGTTCTCTCATCAGCTGCTGAAATGCTATTTGGTATTGCGGAAAGTTGCTGCGGCGTAGGAGGGCCTCAGAGAGTATTTAGACCAACATCATTTGTGCGAGACAGGCGCCCGTCTGACCCGTGCAGGGGGGGAGCAGCTGAAAGAGGTCTAAGGTGCGGCTCATTGGGCAATAAAAGGGCTTAAATTACAAATATATAAACCCGTTAAATTAATTTTAAAATAACCCAAAAGAAATTTCGGAAAATAAGCTGCAAACAGCCAATGCAGGGGCTGCACACCAGCCGGGGTTGGGGGTGGTTCCCTCTCGAGCGCTGCATGGCTGCTGTGCTACTTGCGTTGCACAACAGCGATTAAAACGGGGCAGAAACTGCCTGCCCTTCGTCGCAACGTCAAATTAAAACATAAAATGACCAATTTTTCACATTGAAGAGCGAAAAAAAAAACCCTCACCACCGCCGCCGCTAGAACGTTACTAGCTCCACCCCCCAACGCGGGTCCCCAATGTGAGTTTTGGGGAGGTGTTTTTCCTTTTTTTAGCCTCCTAGAACCTGAGTTTTGTACATATCGGACAGATCAATTACATCTTAAAAGAAAGGATTGATCCAAAAAAGTGAAAGACAGCACAGGGCTGCGCCCCAAGGAAAACCCCTGCAGAATCGACGGCATCGCCGTGCTGTACCTGTTTTCTGTGTGTTGTATCTCCGCCGAATATATGTGCGAAAATCCACAACTTGAAAGGCCTTAAGGCCACAGAAAAAGTCTGGCCTGAAATTCAGTTCCGTAGTTGCAGCTCTGTGCGTTGTTGCTACTACAGTGCGCGGCTAGACCCTGGTATAACTGCAGCAATAGCATAACCAGCTGCAACCTCAGCAACAACGAACACCGTTTCGACGGCAACAATGTTGCAGAGGGATACGACCGTCGCTGCAATTGCAGCAAGGTGTAACCGCCCGCTGCAGTAGCAGGAGCAGTGAAGCTAACAGCTGCACTCAAGTCTCCAAATAAATATGCAAACGCCGTTGAAGCCCTTCCTTCAAAATGGCTTCAAAGAAGATAATCGGCGTAACCTTGTACCGTTAGTGCATACGCTTCGCAAGATGCACTCTCAGTCAATTAAAACCGACCGCTGGGGAAGATGCAACTGCAGCCCGCGCTCCAGCTGTCCTCCCTGCTGGTACTGCAGCCGGTGATACCCGATCTGTTGCTAAAGCTCTTGCTGCTCCACTGCTGTAACCTGTGCCGTAACGCATATTGCTGCTATTCCTGCATCCGCCCCACTTGGTCTTCCTCCGCCTGTTTGTACTGCTTTCATATCCTACTATTACTGGTGCTTCATATCCACTCTGTAATTATGGAAGGCGTTGAAAGGCACTGTCCCAAATGAAGCCCCAAATGCAGCCACATGTCCATTAAAAAGGAGCACGGTGCTGCATTCAACGTGACATGGTGCCCCAAAAAGGAATGAAACAGCTCTAGCCCCAGCCTCTATTCATCAATGCACTCAGGGTGCTCTGTGGTGTTGCAGGGTCCGCGGCCTTTTAAAGGAAAGAAAATGAATTGGAAGTCTCCCCTGCAAGCAAATTGCACCAGAGCATATGTACGCAAGCCATAGCACTCAATTCCCTTCCTTCAGGTCTAACTCCCTCCTCAAGTACCGTTTTATGCCTAGTTTTAGCCCACGGCTTACTCAGTTTGTGGGGGTCTCTGGTCGGCCCTTTCTGCTGCAGCTTTCCGCTCCACCTCTGCTGCTGCTGCCGCAAGACGGGGAACAGGACTCGCTGCAGTAGCAGAGGCACTGCAGGCAGTCTGCTGTAACAGCTTCAGCAACTCCAAAATCAAGTCACTGACTTGAACCCAATCATCCTGCTGCAGAAACTCCTCCAGCTTAACTATGCCACAACAGCAGCATCCGTTGCTGCTGCTGTTGTTGGGTGCAGCACCTGCTGCAGCAGTTTTCCCGCTGGAAAAGCAAGTATACAGAACATGCCAAATTTCAACAAGATGCCGTTCTGGATGCCCCTTGTCTTCTCGTTGCAGTGATAGCAGGTAGCGGAGAGGCCACAAAAACAACTGCAGCACGAGTGGACGAAGAGAAGCAACTGCAACGCTTACCTGCAGTATCACTCGCCACAGGCAGCCCCCGCTGCATCTGCTGCAGCTGCTCGAGAAGCGCATGTTGGTCGGCTCTGTAGAATAGTGAAGGAGCAAGCTTCGAAGTAGCTGTTGCAGCACCCCCACAGGGTCTTGATGCTGCGCTGTATTCCAAAAGCTGGTGCTGCAGCTTCCCTGCAAGTTGCTGCTTCGGTCGCAACAACTGACACTGCCAGGCTGCTCATGTGAGAGGACCACGAGTGCCGCAGCGAGCGTCGCATTCTGCAGCACCATGGTGAAGTCTCGCTGCAACCCTCGCAGCTGCTGCAACTCATGCTCCACGCCTTTTTTCTTTTTCGACCAACCAGCAGCAGTTGTTGCTGCTGATGCTGCTGCTGCCACCGCTGATACAAATGCACTTATCAGGCTGCCACGCGTTTCTATGATCGCTAAAGCATGTTGTTGCCCAACCTGTACAGATGCTTCTGTTGCTTTGCTTGAGGCCTTTGCGCCGGTTGTTGCTTTGAGTCCTTCGGCTTCCGTAGCTGCCGCGACTGCTGCGGGCGGACGATGAACGCACACTTCATGCAGAGCTGGACCAACAACCCGTATCCAAGCAATACGCAAAAGTCGCCCAGCAGAAGCAGCTGCTGCAGCTGCTGATGCAACTGCATCATCAGCAACAGTGTTGCTGAAAGCAGCAGCCTCACTGAAGCCACCAGCAGTATGATAGCTCGGAGCTGTTGCTGAAGCGACAGCCACCTTGCGGTCTTCAAGGAGGCGTGCGAGAGCTTGCAGCGCAGTACCAGCGCTGGCGTCTGCTGCGACGCAAGCCAAAGGCTCTACAGCTGCACCGTCCGTTGCTGCCGCTGCTGCAGCAGTCAGGTCCTCTCTTCCGCTCCTGCAGATTGTCTCAGAGCTGTGAAGATCACCTGTGTCCAGGCATGCAGAGGAAGAGCGAATGAAAATAATAGACTTGCTGTCAGAAGCGGTGCCGTTGCTGCTGCTACAAGTGGTCCCGCCGCTGCTGCGCCCATTGCAGCTGTTGCTTCTTCCCCCTCTATCACTGATGGGATTTTCCAGGATTTGCTGCAACAGCTGGCATGCGAGTGGCTGTCGAAGCTGCGGCTGCTCCTTGCACAATGCCAAGAAGCGCAAAATGGCAATGTCTGCATCTGCTGCTGCAGCTATGAACTCAGACACTTGCTCCTGCTGTTGCACCGGGTGTCCCGCCGCTGCTGACTCTAGACAGAACGTCAACACTGCAGCGGCCCCACAAGCAAAGCATTGCTGCAGCGCCTCCGCCGCAGAAGAAACCCCTTTTGGTAGATCAGATGCTGTCGCTGCTGCCGTTACCTTCTGTATCTGCATGCACGCGCTCCTCGCCGCCTCCGTCAGGGCAACAAGGAGCTTGCTAAAACATCCAAAAGCTGCCGTTGCGACAAATACAGAGGATCCTGCGACTGCTGGAGTCCCTGCCGCCTCTGTCATTGCTTCCCTTGCTGCCTGAGGGGGGGGGTCCCAGCTGCAAGAACCTACGAGCTTGAGCAACAGGTTGACCAACAAAGCAGCAACCACTTCTAGTGTCTCCCCGTCAAAGGCACTGTTTACCGCTGCTGCTCCTCCTAGTGTAAGCCTGGGAAGCTGTACCAGCACGCAAATGCAGCACAACGGCGCTTCTGCTGCAGTTGCTGCTGCCTCCAGGATGCTCCAGCTGGTGCTGGTGCTGCCCCTGCCTATCTTACTCCTGGCTGGCCCTTCCCTTCGCAGCAACGACAGCAGATGATCAAACTGTTCGGTGCATGCCCGAATTGCAGCATATAGAAATTTCATGAGCTGTTGTTCAAGCACACGAAACAGCAGCTGCTGCTGCAGCGTCCATAGCATACTGACACGCTGCTGTGGCTGGCGCACACCATGCGGCTGGCTATGCTGCTGCCCAAAAAGATGTTGCTGCGCGTGGAAAAGGGACATGCGCACTAGATGGAGGGCCTCGGCTGCATGCAGCGAAAGAGAGAGGGGTGTTGCTGCCGTATCTTGCAGCGCCTCGCCCTTCAATAATTGCTGCTCCAATGCAGGCAGGAGTAACAGCACCAACAATGGATACGCTGGCGCCGCAGCCTCCACTGAAAACTTCCGGATGTGCGGCCGCACTTTTAAGCCGACTGCGGTAACTCTTGAGGGAAAAACCTCGTGCTGTGCACTCTGCTGCAGCATCAGCAGAAAGCAACACGCAACTGAAGATGCTAATTCTGCTGCTGCCGCAGCGGCCGCGCTCCTCCCTTCCACCGCGGCCTTTGTAATCGAGTCACACAGAGCCAAGGCGCCAGCCTCTCTGCCTGCTCCCTGTGCTGCTGCTCCTCCTGCTGTTGTTGCTATTCCTGCTGCTGTTTCAATATCAGCTGAGGCAGTTGCTTCAGCACCCGCCCACCATGCAGCTTCGTCGCTCGCTACGTGCACCGCAGCTTCTTGTATTGCCACAGACAGCTCGTCTAGCGCTGCAGCAGCAAGGATGTCTGCTGCTCCTTCTCGCAGCTCGAAGCAGACGTCCATGTGAAGGAGGCACGCATACGCCACCTTAATCACGCATCTGCTCCCGCCTGCGCGACCGTCAGTCCGCCAGGCCCGTAGCAACAGGGCAAGTTGCAGCAGCAGCAAGACCCACTTTTGGTGGTGAAGTGAATGAGAATCCAGCAGTAGCAAATCTGGCGTGAGTTGTTCGTCCTCTCTTTGCTCCTGCTGCCCCAGCAGTTGCCCCATCTGCTGCACGACAAAGCTCCTGTAGTGTCTTACAAACCCTTCGTCAAAACGGCAAATGGCGCATGCCAATTGCTGTTGCACTAACAGCAGCAGCAACTGAAGCAACAGCAACTGGAGCCGCTCATGTTGTACCTGCTGCGTTCGGATATCCCCCAGAAGATGTAAAAGGTAAGCACAAAAGCTTCTGCATGTGCTAACGCTGCAGCAGCAAATCTCTGTAGGTCTATCACCTTCCCCTTGCACCTGCTGCTCTTCCTGCTGCTCCTGGTGCAGGTCCTGTTTCGGGTCACTGTGCTCCTGTAGCAGCTCGGCCGTTTGCTCCTGAGTATGCATTCGTTCCGCATTTTCGTGCTGAGTATGCAACTGAACGGCGCCGGACGCTATCCGCCGCAGGATTTGCCGTGCTACTTCCGCTGGTAGCGACTGGCAACAATCCGCCTCCACGTTCTGCTGCTGTAAGATGGAAGCAGCAGTGGTAGCAGACGCCCTACCAATAATGCAAGGGGTGCTACACCCCTTCTGTATCGTTGCTGATGAAGGTGAAATGAGGCAGTCTGCACTTGCTCCTCCTCCGCCGCCTACAACACCTTCTGATATGTCTGCTGCTCTTGATATTTCATGTGCTGCATGTGGAGTCGCTGGGTGGCCATGTTGATGCTGGGGCTCCGGCCTGTCTTCTGTGGCGATCAAAGAGTGCAAAAGCGCAGCTGTCTGATGCCAACAGCTGCTAATGCCTGGTCTCCGCTTGCTTCTGCTCCCCCTGTCACAGTGCCTTGGGGAATGGCAATGTGGAACGACTTCAGGGGCGCAAACGCAGTCGTCGTTGCTGCTGTTACTATCAGTGCTATTCCTGCCGTCGTTGCTGTTGTTACTGGCTTGCATCCATCTAGGAGGTTGAGAAAAGATATTTCTCTGTTTGCGGAAGCCGCAAATACCTTGCATCTGCTGGATTTGCGCTGTATACTTCCGAGATCGCTGCAGTCCACTGACTGGTTGCTGCTTTTGCTGCACTATCGGAGGCTCCAGCAGCAACAAATTTTCTAGACTTTCAGTCAACAGTACGTCATTGGCCTGCTGCAGTGTCGCAACAGAAGTATTGAGTCCAGCAAACAGTTGCCACTCTGACGGGTCCAGCGTCTCCTCCTGGTGACGTGTCTGCCCCTCCATTTTCACCTTGTTCCCATACACTCCACTTGTGTGACTTTGTCTGGCATTGTCAAGGCAGCAAGTTCTTGAACTAGAACCGCCAGGAACATCCAAATCAGCAGCCGTAGTTTCCGTCGTTTCTGGAGGGGTTCGCTGCTTGTGGAACGGGCCAGTGGGCATAGACGGGACGAATTTGCTGCCTTCTGGGAATGGGAAGAGTTTGTTCAGCAGTCCTAGTGCTTTGACGTACATTGAGCCGGCTGTGGTTGCCTCGCCAGCTTGGGCCTCCGATGTTGCTCCCGCTGCAGCATCTCTGCTGTCTGACTGTGCCAGTGTGAGCGGTCTTGCACCATTATCTCTCCAACAAACTTTGCTGCTCGTGCTCTTCCCCACCCTGAAACTTCTGTTCCTGCAATTGCTGCTGGTTATGTCATCTATCCAATTCCAGGTGTATAGCTTACGCCTGCTACTGCACCCACATTCTTTCGGGCAGACATCATTGCCGTTTGATAGTTGCAGGCGAAGGTGCCTTCTCTGGTCGTTGTTGAAATTCTGCGGCTTTACCTCCCACTGTTCTTGTTCCTGCTCCCAGTGATCAGCCCGCTGCGTTCGCCGCTGCTGCTGTCGTAGCCGTTGCTGTAGAGTATTCCGTTTCGGCTTCTCCAACTCCCAAGGTAGGGATACAAGTTCGCCTCTCTCCTTCAGGTGTTTTAGCACCCTTTCTGCTGAGGACGGTTCCGAGGAACGTTCCTGGGACTGATCTGCTGCTGGAGTGTAAGGGACCCCAGCAGCAGCCCAGCATTCGGCACAGGGCATCCCGCACTACCCGCACTGCGTGCCTCCCATAACCTTGGCCGCTCCAGGTGCATCAGCAACAAAATCGGCACAAATCTAGATAGAGAAGCTAAGATGTGCAACAAAGGGCAACAAAACTGTCGTCTGAGGCCCTTCTGTGTTGCAGCTATTCTGGATGCTATTCTTGCTAGAGCCGCAGAGGGGACGCAAAAATGCACAGTTCGCTATATCTTCCTGGATAGAAGCCTCAAGGAACTTTCTTCACCAGCTCACAAGAAAAAGAGCACGAAACCACAGCTAGGCAGCAGATGATTGGAGGGCAACGCAGCCCACGGGTTGGGCAAGAAGTATACTCCTACAGGCACTAGTGGGGTTATTCTGCCCCGTATGGAGGTCTTGTATTGCTTAAATATTACAATTTATGACCGGCTCAAGGTAAATCACTTCGTAACCACAAAAGCAGAGGTAACTGTTGTTGACTGGGGGGCCCCAAGGGCCCGTCTTGCGCTCGAGGGGATTGGTAGAGAGCCCAGTATTCTCATTTTGCAAGGTCTTCTGCAAGAAGTGGTTCTTCTACTAAGAAACTTCATAGGCTATCAGTCTGTCTTTCTGAAGTAAACGTGGCGACTGTTGAAGCTGTGCGGCGGGCAACAGCTGCTTGTGTGTATATATGCCGATGTAGAATATCGTGACTGCCTATCTAGGGCGATCGTATGGAGCCATTCACAGGATTTCACTGCATTTAGTCAAGTTTTCGTGTTACTTCGTGGCAAATTAGACCACTGAACCTTTGCGGCCCCTGCACTGAACATCTTCGCTAACTGAACACCAGAATTCGATCTGCACCAGCACACCGGGCACCATCCCTGAAACATGCGTCCCTACTTTTAAAGGCAGCAAGTTGTATTGTAGATCCTCAAGAGAGGAGCTGGTGCAGGTGCAGCAGCGTCCACAGGACTCAACGGTACCCAGAGAGCCTTGGAAACGGTATACCGGTTTGCTGCCAACGACAGCCAGGTTTATCGTCTACGCTAGCCAGCACAGAGACTTCCAGCCCTGCTCCTTTTTGTTCCGCCGCAATGGCAGACACGGAGGGGGGCCCTGAGGAGGTGCCAGCGAACGCGTTGAACGAAGAAGTAGATCATCACGCTTTATTTGGCCCTATTTGCTTCTTCAATATCCCCATGGAATTTGTCCTGGCTAGGCTAGACGCATACAGAGTCAACCCACTATCATCATAACGAATCCCCAGTTTGCAGCGTAGGCTGGAGCCAAGGCGTCGCTGCTCATTGGCTTTTCGCGTCTTCCAGCTGAATTGTGCAGGCGAGGGGCCAGGATGCTGTTGAAGGGGACGCTGACCAGCCAACCAACAAAGAGCGAAAGAAGCATCATTCAAAAAAAAGCAAACAATCTGTGCCCGAAGGCTCTCCATCCACTGAAAAGCGGACGAAAAAGAGTGCAAAGCAGGCACAGGAAGGAGGGGAAGGCCAAGCCCCGGCCAAACCCGAAGACGAAACGAAAAGTGAAAACTCTGAAAAGAAGAAGAAAAATAAGAAAACTGTGGTCGTTGCTGTGGAAGATGCGAAAGACGGCAAAGACTCGACAGACCACTTGCAAACAAATGCCAGCAGCAAGACTCGCAAGTCCACTCTTCTTATGTGTGACAACGCAGCTGCAGTTGCCTTGGGTAATCTGCTGGCCATTCAGGTGGGTAACTTTTAAGGGGCGAAGAGCAAAGAATCATTCACGAGCGTGCAAAAGAAACTCACTGCAGGCGGGTTGCATGCATCTTCATCGTAGGACTAGTGTGCCGAGATTTCAGTTGTTGAGCAACAGGTTACTCTACTCAAACATACATCACATTCTAGGCCGTCTGCATAAGCTCCTTAAGTGGAGAAAGAGACTGTGGTACTAGCGGCTCCTCGGACAACCTCCCAGACAATATCGGGCAACTGTGCTAAAGGAACAACACATTCTGTGTGCTTCCCCGCTTGCTACCTTGGCCTACGATATATGTTGCACCGTTTTCCTCTATACCCCAATTGGGGCTGCACTGCAGCGAGGGGTATCGTCTAAGGCTGATGGGCGGGAGGAGGCCGAGGAGGGTCAATGGCTTGAAGAGATTGAAGATGAGGAACTCGACCAGATCCTAGGTATCACTAGCGCAGCACAAAAGTTAGCTACCCGCTCCCTGCTCGCTGCAGTGCGATGCATTGCGTTAAACGAAACACAAGAAACAGTAACTCTAACAGCGGGGCCGTACAAGAATGGTTCGAACAAAAAGCTAACGTCTGGCCTTCCACAAACTCCTACCTAGCGCAATTTAATTTTGGTTTTCGCTGGACAGCTAAAGCACAGAATTCCGAACAACGAGTAGCGGAGCTAAGGAGCGTGATTTCCGAAACTGCATCTAAGGCGTTTGAGGGCTACTCCGATGAACTCACAGTAGGCAGACACTCAAGGGTGGCAACAGACAGCAGTCAGAGCTACGCCCCTGGACAGCAATGAAGGTCCTGTTTGGATGAAGCATATGATATACACTGAGTTCTCCTACGTTAGCCAGAGGGCCAATCGTTCACATTGTTAAGGAACAGCATCTCTGATAGGCCTGAAAGGAAGCGACGAATTAAATAACAATCCCAAGGAATATGCCCACCGTATTTGTGAAGTTCAGGGTCACTGGTAAGACCACACTTCAATTTCGACTGTACTGATACGCGGCTGTTTGTTTCCAGACACTAACGCAGGACAAAGCCATCATTGTCGGGACGGCAGATGAGGACAAAGTTATTGCAGTTGAACAAAAAGAAGCCCAGGAAAATATAGCAGCGTGTGTAGCCCAACAGAAGGAGCTGCAGCAACAACAGCAACGGCTTTTGTTGTATGAACAAGTTGTCCGCAAGAGGATTTTAGATGAGCTAGAGTGGCGAGAAGCAAAGCTCAAAGTGCTGAGGCGTCAGGCAGAGAAGCAAGACCTCAATAGACAGGTACGATCAGCAGACATTTGCTGAAAAGCAGGAGGATCTGCATTAGGGCACGATTATACCTCCCATTCTCCTCTTTACTGCCTAATATGAGTAAACCAGGCACTGCTGCATCTTAAACGTCTTGCCGGATATACAAGCTCAATAGAGCTCACGCGCTCTATTGAGCTTCTATTTCGCTGTATGCTCTGTCGAACCCGTGTGCGTGTGCTACTGCCACCAGGACCATCTTTTGAAGTTGGTTCGGGAGTGTGAATGCCGAATGGAAGCCTTGATGGGGCGCCGTAAAGCTCGCCTGTCATCTGTTTACGGCCTTCTAAAAAAGGAAGGGGAATACACCGCTGTTTCAAGGAGAACAGAGGACCCCAAGTCGAACGGAAGAAACAACTTCATTCCAATGGGTATGCACTGGGTATGCACTAATGAAGCAGGCAATTCTGCTCACATGAAGGCAGATAAAATGCTACGGAAAGAATGCCTAATACTGTTCAACTCGATTCCCTCTGCATCAACCATGCATATGATGCAGTTCAGAGTAATGTTTGAAGCACAATGCGCGCTTTCTTAGTGTTTGGCCCTGCGCTCATCCTCTGCTGTATATTGCATACCATTGGAGATGTTATTTTGACTAGGAATTGATCTATATGCACGGTATCAACTCATCGTAGTGCGCAAATCATGCAAAACATGTTTGAGCTGCAAGAACACCAATTCATGCAGCTTTACTCTATCCTCAGGCAAGTCCTACCGTGTCGAATGGCTGCGGGCTCCTCAACCCCTGAAGATGCAGATAGATTTCTGCCGGGCCCTCAAGGACAAAGTTCCTCCTGGAAGATACCTTGTTGCGGTGTCGATATGGACGCGCATCGGTGGGCAAGCTGACAATTTTACAGTAGGGAGGGTGTAAGTGCCTAGACTGTCGTTTGTTAATCTGCGAAGTATGAGACGTGTGGACTTTTTCACTTGGGCAGGAGGCACACGTCTCCGGTGGAACGGGCTGCCGTCTATCGAGGAGAGACTCCTGCAAGATGCAGCTGAGAGGAAACAAAGTAAATTATCCATCGCAGGGCTGCCGAATGTCGGAAAAGAATCATCAGGAGGAAATGAAACCTTTGTGGGAACTGCAGCAGCCGTCACCCAATCCGTGGAATTTACAGCAAACTTTAGCGACGAATGCCTGAGGCAAGACGGATACTTCCACGTTCATTCATGGCTAGCAGTTAAAGAAGACTCTGTATTCATCCGCACATTCAAGAAGGTTTTCTGTGGGAGTTTGTCGCATGGCAACCCTCAGTAATGCACTGTCTCATGTGCATTATCGGACGCACAGTTGTACTTTTCTCAGAACATTTGGCCTTTATTTCAGATTTGACCAAGCTCTAGAACTGGCGTGCCCTTCGGAGACAGACGTGGAGCCTGAGATGTGCTTAATTTTTGAACTCTTTCTGCTTCGAGGCCAGAAATCTCCAGTTGATAAGGCGTGTGAACTGCAGCCAAATGCCAATACTTGCTTCTGCCAGCTCTCCAGTGTATTGACTGTGCTTCTCTACTCTTTAAATACAACGAACATCCAGCTTCAAGCTAAGCTAGTTGGGTCTACGGCACGCATCTCAGGTCATGGGTTGGGGCGCATTTCCATTGGTGGATTCTGACTTTCGGCTGATCGAAGGAAGCTTCAAGGTTAGACTTAGTTTCCTCCATTTTATTGATCCCTAGAAGTGACTGAAAGGACGCACAAAGGGCGCAACAGCACTTCAATCATCTTAACATTTGCCGGCCACATTTCTACTGTCGCTGTTGACACACGTCCTAGACCCAGCTCTGTTACTTACATGTTGTCAATACTTAAATAGACTTGGGTGCTCAGTTACTGCACATAGATCATGCCCACGCCAACATACAGGTCGCTCAGGTCAACACTCTCTCTTGGGTGAGAAGGGCATGGTTGTTCTTTAGCTCTAGGGCGCTTCGCATTCGGTTGGCTTCACTCAGGTTCCGTTATTGCGTGGGTCGGTTGACCCGTCTATTCGCCGCTATCTAGACATGGAGCACCTCATCAATAATAGCCTCGATTCATGGCTGTGTCACCTGTATTTCCGATGTGAACGACTCCCCCAGTACACAAGGGGACAGATTGAATTCGAGCTGCAACTTGAGCATGCAGCGGCTTTACTTGGGGGGAGAAGGAAAGGAGCTGCACCGGCCAAGCCCCAACAACACAATCGACTTTGGGAAACATCTCTAGAGCGCGCAAAAGGTTTGTAATTCTTCTCTCCGTGACGCGTGAATATCCAGGTCTAGCTAAAAATGCATTCCTCAGCAATACATGTCAAGAGCGAACTGCCTGTCCACACGAACTCTATTCGTCTACTGCCATTGCCACATTTGCAGCCAACGATCTCGTTCAGCAACTTGTCAGCGCACTTCAAGCTTGCGAAGAAATGGCTGATGGTAAGTACTATGCGCCAGAGTATGCATTTAGGCGTCAGTAGTAATGACAGCGCTTCAGCCTTCAGCAAGACACAGACGCCATTCCCGCAAACATTCCAGGTGCACGTCGAGATATGATATTCTTTGCGTTTAGTGCTACATGAGTTGTGCAGCGTCTTCAACAATCGTATCCAAGGACGGTGTGCGAGCGTGGAGACACAAAGATGCACCTTCAGCTTTGCAGTGTTCACCGGATGTAAACGCCATTCAAGATTACGGCTACTCAGGTCTTCCCTCTTCCTAGCCTCACTTTCTGTAGCTCAATTTAGGTTGCTTGGAGAATTGTCTTCAGACTAGGTAGCTCGCATACAGCACCCGTACTCCCCCAGCTTGACACGCTTCTGCAGCCTGCGCTCCTCGTTCCACAACTATCTAGCTCCTTTAATGTTATGTTCTGTGCGCGAAGTGTACTGCGGCACCACCTTGTCCCATCCCACTGAGGCCTCTAGAAAGATGAAATATTTGAAAAGCTCGTTGTTGGACGACTTTCGGCTCTCTTTAAACAAAAAGGAAATCGGTAATATACTGTTGCTCTGCTACGCGTGTGACGCTGACATTTACAACACTCTGTACTGTCATTTCCACTACCATTTAGGCATACACATTTTGGCGCAGCGGCATATTTGAACTCGTAAATACGTGGAGCTCCCAACGGAAGATGCTGCAAAGGCATTTCCAAAGCCTCACCATTCATGTGCATTTCGTTTTCCCAGGCAAGGCGGTAAGCGCCATAATTTGCGCCGTCCTTGCAGTTTGGTGTTGCAGTCTTATCTTTTTGCTAGGAGTGTGGCTTTACTTACGTTCGGCTAAAGTTCCAATTCATAATATTGAGCTAAAGGCTTTTTACGTCCGGCTGGACTTCGTGCAGGTGGGTGCGCGCCAATACTCTTGTGTCGCAAATAGAATGCTATTCAAGGCCCTCATGTATCCCCTGATATTGTGTTTATTGGATTGCTCAGGAATTACTCCCTCTAAGTCAGACTATCGGCGTCACGGTTGCGGGCCCACTTGCGTGCCTTGTTGCCTTTGTTCTTGCATCATTGACCGTCCACGCCGCTAACATTACACTGGGGCGACAGCCAACTGCAGGTATTGCTGGACGCTTTTGTTTCTTTTTATCCAGACAGACTGCCCATGAAGCATTTCAAGGACACACTGAGCACTCGGCTTGCTGTGGGTGCTTGTTCGTTTCAGTTTATCAGTTTTGCAGTGCTTTGGGGGCCGCAACTGCCATTAGTCCTCTCTTGCTAGCCGTTATTGAGGGGCTGAGCGCACATTTCACTGGCATATCTTTCATACTGTTTAACTACTACATCAGGGATGTCAATAATGCCACGCTGGGAGTCATCATTGCCCTCCTCATCGATTTGGCATTCATTGGATGTAGTGTGTTAGTACGTACAGGCTACCTACCAGGCACTGGGAGACTCAGCCACTCTTTTAAGTTACAAATGTGTCGTCAAAAACTACCGCATACCAAAGTTGATTTTCCCATGTACCTTGCCGTTTTAGCACTTGACAAAGACAGTCCCCTCCATCGATGCTCGTATGGGAAAACTCTCAAGAGGCCTCCACCACCGGTCTTCCGCATGTGCAGGCATATTACAACTACGCAGTTTCGATTCATCTCCATGGGCAAGTGAAAGACACTCACAGGAGGCTTACAGGCGATGCATCATTGTTTTACTTGCCACCTGATAGAGCGGTCTCGGAGAGGTACTTGATGGGGTGCTTAGAAAGTGCAAGGCAGTACAGAGGCGCAGACGGGGAAGTTAGAAAGATCTACACAGCCAGGCATCCAAGTCGGTTGAAGCTTTGCACCTACATAAATTCCAGATTCTTGCTTTTCCCGTAGCACCTGTCGTAGGGCTAACAGCAGCTCCCTGTAAATTCTATTGCTGTCTGAAAACGCGTGATTTGGTGTCAGTTACGGATCCGGACAAGCAATCAACAGGATTTAGGGCACGAAAGCATTGTTGTCGAATAGGAAGTTGGCGTCGAGCCGACTCTCAAGCAACTCAGCTGGTGATATATACCGTTAATCCAAGGGCCGGTACCCAATCACCGTACCGACAGTTTCTGTTGTAAGCAAGCTCGTATATTGTCATGCACATTGCAGATATCACAGGATTCTGTCGCCTATTACCACCCTGCGAAATAGTTTTGTGCTAATGCAGTCGAAACTTCCGAAGCATGTTATTTTCGTAGGCACCCTGATGGCACTATTTTGGAGGTTCTTGCAAACCTCCCAGAGGGGAAGCACCAGTCAAATGCGCCAGCCAATACTCTCCAGTCTCCCGACTCGGAAATTCCTCCATGTCAGGATGTTAGTACCGCATGAAATGATGTTGTACTGGTACGGCTTCGTTGAATGTTCCCAACGAAAATAGTGGACCCACTATCTCAACGAACCGAAGCAACCGTCTATTAAGTATAGCTGTGCATTAGCTTGACTAGCAATTAGGCGTTTGGAATGTTTTCATCTTCCAGCAGCTTGTTCTAAAAGGTACTACACACACTCGCCAAGAGTAGACGATGATACCGAGATTTCAGCGTAGTGTTGGCTGTCCTCAATTTGGTCTGTTGAGAAACGGTAAGCACGCAAAAATTTTCAACAATTGTCTACAGTTTTTATCCATAGAGCATCGAAGGCTTCATGTGCTTGTATGTGGGGCTGCCCTGCACCCTGATATGCAGCAAAGTGCGTTGCAACTAATGGCTGACCACCCCCTCTCCCACGGCTCCAGGCACTTGAGCAGATTAGCTTAGGGACGCCTGGAGAATGGGGAAGCAGGTCAGCTGAGAGCACTTAACCCAAGTATTCTGGTTCCACTGAGGCACAGTAGGCCTTGGATAAGGGCCAGGATGAGCGCTCCCTAGTCCGCCAATTTGGCACTAGACACCTCCATGGAGGGGCCTTTCATGCATACAAGTAGCAACGTTTTCTGAACAAGCAGATTATTTGACGATAGTTTTCTCATCTGCCGATCTGTGAATCACTTTTGCCAAGTGCTGTAATGCCCTCCCTGTTGGCCTCAGTGAGGGCTCGCAAGCCTACCACAGAACTCTAAGAGACTATATTAATATTTGTACGTATAAAGTATGTTAATTGTCTGTTTTGTGCCGGGCGACGGCTTATGCTTGATGGGCACGAGCCTTCTTACCCAGATGGTAAATAGCAGAATTCTGCTGTTGACAAAAAGCCCCTGCGCGAGTTCACTAGTGATAGACTCAGAAGGTGCCCCCTAGGACGCTAAGGGATACGCAGAATGGCGTGAAACTGATTAGTATGTGTTCCCCTGTGTCAGAACAATCTTCATCTAATGTCGATGCACTGTCGAAGGGTGGTGCACAACAGATCAACCGTGCAGGGTCAACCTTCAACGGTTCCCACTGGGTCCAGCTGGAACTGCACAAACTCGTTACTGAGAGATACTTGGATGCAATCCACTGGAATTTGAGAGCAACGTTAGTCGAAAATGTCTATCGTAGCCAATGAGGCAAATTCTCACAGTTAGGGTACTGGATTTGTGAAACCTTTATTTAGTTAGTGTCTCATGTCACGCTAAAAAGCATTCTGGGTAGAACGCGTGAGGCAGGTTGACGCTGTGTACGTACCCAATGGATGCGTTCCTCAAGTCCACATAGAAAAGGTCCTCTCCGGTCATGTATGTAAAGTCTCTCACCCGAGTGCCAGGCGAAGTTCAGAGGGGTACACTGCGCTAAGCCAGTGCTGGTGGTTCATGTAATTATTGTACAATTTACCTATTCACGGCGTAAGCTGAATTCCATAGACTTTGATGGAAAAAGAAGTTCTCAGCATTCTGTAGGAAGAAAGGCCCCTCACTTGCAGATGCGGTCAGGTAGTAAGTACCAGCCGAGCCACAAGAGAGCACGTCATGTCACCTGCTTTAAATTGTAAGCAACCTGCTAGGCTCCATCGGGAAGGGCTAGACGGAAAACCGAATAGTTTATAGGGATAAGGCCCCTTGATTCAATGCCAAATTGCTGCATATTATGTTAATCTCCCATACAAACGGCAGGGAACATTCGACATGGCCAAAGTAATAGCGCGCTGGCTGCGCAGAGGCCACGACGACCAATCGGCTGCAGCATTGTTATAGACTCCCAATATATGGTGCTTTTTCCTCTGGACTCGTTCCGTTGCTGCTCACAGACGTCTAGAAAGCCGCTACTACCACGGAGACTGTTTCATTATTTTCTGCCAGAACTACCTCGAGTTTGCATTTTCTCACTTTCGAAAAAATCCAAACTGGCGAGGGAATCCAGTACTCGGATAATATGCTTCGGTCGGCTCTCAAACACGGTTCAGGAAGCTCTTCGGTGTACTGGCGACTCACAGGTCTGGCTGGTCCCAGTATTTAACGAGATTCAGGTGTTTTAACATATCCTGTTGCACGTTATCTGGAAGGACGCGTTTGTCTCCACAGATGGGGGCGAAACGGATATAGCGTAACATGGCGAAGTTCATCATTTGAGCGGCGCAGTTGAACGTGCAAAGAAAAACCATAGCCAAGTCATGAAAAAGGTTGTAGCCCTTTTTTATGCTGCCGTAGAAGCGCGACTGAGCCTGCGTAAACCAAATGGATGTTACCTCCACAACGTCCATGGAAAACATGAACAACACTCTGAAACGACCCATGGTGTCCCTGAAGAGGCCGTGCTGCAAGCGCACACGCAATTGTCCGCACTGTATCAGCATAGGCACAATATTAGGAGGTAAGCATTGATTTGGTACGAGAGGTTTCGCACCGTATTATAGAATAGATACGCCTGAGTTACCACAACGGGGCAAGTTTATAACGCCTCTAGAACACGGTTAGCTGCATCAGTAGTAGCTACAGTTACTCAATTTATAGACCCTGACCTCCTGATAGGATGGAAGTAGACCAACAGTCGAATTTTCAGTGAAGAGTTCGGTTATAACGAAGACAGTTGAAGAGACGAGCTTTTGAAGAAGTCTTGGCCAACATCGGTTAAAGACAAGGGACTGAATTTCCTTCACGACTTTTGAAAGCCAAACTGCATTGATGCGTCGGAACACTGATTCGCCTGAAGGTCGTTGAGGTTCTTCAGCTCCCGTCAGCATCTGAGGACCGTGCGTTTTCGGTGTCTTTGGCTTCGGTGGCACATGGCGAATTATACAGCACTCATTCGCGAAGCAATACCGAACTTCAAGGCCATCTAGCTTTGCACTATCTTTCTGCCCATTTGGTGCCTCGTTCTTTGAAACGGTCATCTTTTTCTTCCAGTGCTCCACTGGGTGAGTATACCGGCTGAAGTCTTTTGTTTTCCAGTGTCGCCAATCGCGGCGCAGATTGAGAACAAAATGGGTCCACATGTCACTGAAGAGACTCCCCACAAAACCCCTTGTATGCTTACCCTTTTGTACTGCAACTGTCGAAATTGCACTTGCCCAATCAGACGCTGTGGGTTTTCGTGCATTAATGAGTCTGATGGTCTTTCTAAATGACACGTTTTCTTCTTGACTTTCCTGAGGAGGGTCCTCATAAACATGGTGACTGTAGTGTTGTCTCCTCTCGTTCATTCCAAAGATTATCTCTGTCCTCCACACAGTTGTAGCTAAAAATCTAGTTAAGAAGAAAGGTCTGACAATAAAGAACTCGAAAAATTTCACCAGGAACTTTCTGATTTTTTGCCAGGTAGTGGACTCTTCAGTGGTAGCGCCTTCAATCACCAACAGCACTCTTCTTTCCATATATGCATACCCAAAGTGAAAGTACGAGAAAGCAAAATCTTTAAAAACCATCAACAAGTAAAGGAAAATACTAGATGCCTTCATTAGCACAGTTCGGATCAGCAAGTATCTCCACGAGTCCCAAACAATTGCGAAGCAGCACAGGATTTTGTCGAATTCTAGAGGGTCAGGGCCATCCGGGCGTATTGGAACATGCGGTTGGCTTGGTGGAATGTACTCAGCCGAAGCTAGAATGGGAGCAAGGATCCGACTCTGGCGAACTGCAGTGCTAAATGTAGAATTTTTTGATCCTAGCCGAGACCCGCGGCTTCGCTGCTCAAGAATGCGGGCGCTGCGTCTTTGGACCGCACTTTCGTTCCTATCTCTCTGGTTGCGTTGAGCCACCTCCCCTGGGCCATTGACGCTGTCGTCCAACGCTGTACCCTTCCAGTGGCTTTCAGCCTGTCGGTGCGTACTACTGAGGAATTTCTGATTCCCAATCTTCGGCAGCCCATGTCCAGCCGCTAGTTCTGCAGAACTCTGATTCAGAACATCGCTGTTAGAGGGGCCCTCTAGTTCTAGAAGAACACGAACGCCCTCTTCGCTGTCCTGCTGCAGAAACTCTTCAGTGTGCTCTTCTTCTACAGAGGGCAGCTCTTGACCCGTTTGGTACGATACGTTGTAGCCGAATTCTACCAGAACATTCGTGGCTTTGTGCGTTGCTGGCAAGAAAATGGAACCGTAAAAATTTGCTAGAGCTAACTCTCCGATGAAGGATATTACTGCACTAAGCTTTAACTGGGCAAATTTGTGTTGCATGGTTTCGAAAAATGGCAAAAATACAGTCCGGTTGAATATATCTACTCCAAAGAATACGATTCCCGGTAGATGGAAAATCAATGCGCGCCTATATTGGTCCCTCGTTTTCGCGAGGTACAAGCCCAAGGGAATTAGTAAAATAGATCCATAGAGGAAAGCCGCATACAAGGGCCAAGTGAAGTAGTTAAAGAATGGCAAAATCTCGCGGATTTTCGGGAAGGTTTGAACATGATACAGGGCAGCATTGGAAAGGAACTCAATAACGAAGTAACCGGCATATCCAGACATCTCCCTCCAAAAGCCTACACTTCTACCGCCAAGTGTCCAAACCTTCACGTACAGCACGTAAGTTACATGCAGGGCAAATTCATTTGCTAGGTACATATAGCATATGTTTTCAACCCGAGCGTAAGCAAGAGGAGGATCTATGCAATCAGGGTCCACTTTCTCCCCATCAGCGTCAAGTTCGCAGGGCGGAGGAGGCTGATAATTTGGTATTGGATTTCCAAGATCATCCAAGGGGCAGTCCTTGTAGGCGACCATCCACAGCGCTATCACCGGATGTAGTGTGCTCAAGAACATACAGAACATGTAGCAAAGACGACGATCTACGCGGGCGACAGTTGCAGCCACCTGACTCCAACACGAAGAAAAGCGCTTTCCTCCAGATGGAGTCGTTTTCTGTCCTTCCTCCTGGCTGTTCACCAGCGCGTGCTGTTGCGTGGTCACCTTGCCCGAGCTACCGTCGAGATCTGGCGGAACAGCACCGAAATTGGCCGGTGCTGCCCCTTCAAGCTCCCCCATTTTTTTTATTTATATCCTTTTTTGTTTGATATATTTTAGGGGAAGCTCGCTCATGAGGACTCCGCAGACTTTGCCACCAAGCGGTGGGGTCACCGCTCCCGCTCCCGAGGCCAAGGCTTAAAACGCCCCAGTAAATATATCCCATCAATGAATACAGATATCCCGCCAAAATTCTTGCCTAAAATTGATATTTTTTTGCTGTATATTATAGAAGTGGAGGGGCGGATTAGGTTTTGCCCAGCCCCGTTGCTGGCGCATATTGCTAGGTACCTCGTGCCAATGGCGCGCCTGAACTGGTATGTCCACCTTGATGGCTCTATGTGAAGGCCAAATATACTATTTCGGAAGGAAAACCATTCTGCAATTGGATTCAGGCTAGCTGTACATATACAGGGATAACCTGCGCAGGCAAAATGCCAAAGTGATGTCGGGTGCCCTCTTGTATGCTGCGAATGTTAGTGAAGATTCTACTGTGGTAGAAGACGGGTTGTTTTCCAAAGGATGCTCGCTTTTTCATATGAATCATTAGATATGACGTGGCCCATTTTGCGAGGCTCACGCTTGCTCTATTGGGCTTTTGTGGCCAGTATTATAGGTTCCTTTTACAAGGCGAGGATGGCCGGTTGCGCAAACCCCTGCATAGCTCTTCATCCTTCGCAAGCTCAACATAAATTTATTCTTGTGCTGTCATCTCAGTATGCAATGATCTCTAGTCGCTCAAAGTGGTTCAGTGCTCTTAAAATACTGCATACTGGTTGGCGACATTCAGATTTTCCTTAAGTTGAGCATGGAACCAACCATGAATTCACTAAAACGCTGAGCTATTAGTTGAGCTTGAGATTGTTACAAGACACACGCAGAACACAATATATATGCTAACAGAGCTGATAAACAGCTTCCTCGCAGCAAGGTATCTCCAAGCAAGCCTATGCAGAAGCTTCCTAGCTGCGACGGCCACTGAAAAAGTGCAGGCTGAGTATAGTATCTAAAATACAATAGATTATACCAAATTGTATATGCAGAAAGAGAGAAGTGGCAGGCATTCCACGTGTCATTGCACTTGTAGAATGTCAATCTGTAAATGTAGTTTACAATTCTTACCATTTTAGGGTATACAAAACCACCTCGCATTCGGTTCAAAGTGTTTATCCGAATGCAACTACAGGGTTCAACCAAAGACCACGTCCGTGAAAAACTAGATGTGGTGGGAATATACAGTGCCGAAGCGGGATCGTTTATCAGTTGGAAAAGCAAGTGGAACTGCCTTCCCACAGTGCGGACAGCGAGCAAACGGCGAAACAGCGGCGTTCAATTTCGTGAAGCTGAGGGTGACCAATCCATAAAAGCTTTCCTCGAGTCTTGATATGTAAGTTCCCTCCGTTTCTCAGTATCTACACCCAGAAGTTTCTGCACGCTTGTTACTACGGTTCTTTAGGGCATTCCCCACATACCATGTTTTCACGTCCCCTATAGAAGGCCTAATAACGCCGGCAGCGACGGCAACCGGATAGTCTACAACTCTTGATGAAATGGCTAAACACCAAACAAACCGCGGCCACAAAAGATGCCATTTTACATCGACAGAGGTGCCCACTCTCCGAAATCCACGTCTGCACTGACGAAACGTAGAGCAAGACCAGGTGGTCCATGCTACCAGCAATTGCTAGCAAAGGTACAGGCTGTAAAGGGCACAAGTTTTAAATCGCCTCAAAGCCTGTCATGTCAGATACGACACAACCCTTTCATATCATTCAGCACCAGCAGCTCTCATGTGAATGGAACAACACCACCCTCCTTGATAATGGCGCGATCACGCCATAAAGTGGTGTGACCGAAATCTGGCGTGCGAACGGAAGGGTTACTTCTATTTCCCCCACCAATTTATGCCCTTCATTGGTGCCTTTACATACAGGTACTGTGTTGAGTTGGCACTACAATGCTGGCAGTAGTGGGGCAGGGTCACCCTCTTACAGATTCGTAGTATCTGCCAAGAGCTAGAGGAAAACCTGGGAGAGTACATTGTGTAAACTAGACTGCTTTCTAATATAAAACAAGAGCTGGAACACAACTGCCTTTCAATCTCTTGTGATTCAAGGGGTGGGGGTGGGGGGTGGGGGGAATTGCATTGCTTGGGAATAATCCGTTCACACACCGCGCACAGCCGATGGTGCGCCGGCACTGTAACTGCTTAAACGGCAGTGGGGTGTATTTCAGCGTGAATAGAATGCCTTTTATAATGGCTTTTATTTTGTTATTTGGCATGCCTACTGAGGATGAGGGGAGTTTGACATGGAAGACCCAGCAGAAGGTGATAGCGAAACCCACATCGCGTGTACCCCAGTGCACTGAGGCAGTGTGCGTGTTGTCATGCCTATCAGGCTACTCACCGTAATCCATGTTGTTGCCAAAATAACATTCGTTGGTATTCCTTGTTCTGTCCAGCTGACTGTATATGGGATCCGCTGAACTCCGCTCGAGTTTAGGCGCTTAAACGCGGTGGCTTGTGGCGTCTCTCCTGAGCAACGTGGCCCATCTGTGCCATTAACAGCATTCGAACACCAACCCTTAAGTTATTATAACAAACATGCCCCACTGTAAGGGTGATTTTTTATATTTATTTGCCTCTAGCAGAGTCGCCCTGCACTCTCGGGCCTGCATAGCCAGCCAAGCCGTTACTGCCTGCACTACACTACACACCTTCCATTCCTCCGTAGCGGAGCACATTAAGTGCCAGTAAAGGTTGAAGTGTAGGCAAATCAACCACCGTTACTCTTGAAAAGCTGATCCCATTTGCTCACTTGGAAAAATGATAATATGCGACCCAATAGCGTAGCAAGCTTGTGGTGAAGGCAAGTCCGCACACTTCAATAATGCAGCGCAATCCTGTTAACGATTCAAAATGAGTTTCTCACTTTGAAACTGATTTTAGGTCTGTAACGTATCGGAGCTGCTTTCGTCTGTAATTCTTGTTCTGTTGCACAGCGGAAACAGCAACACTGCTAGTGATTTTTCACGACGGTCAACGGTCTAAAATGGGACGAATTTACCTTTGCACAAAGCTCCAACAGACCTTGCTACATCAGCATGCACTTCAGTTATCGTAGACAGCGCACCTATAACCCACTGCTAGCATGGCGTATGTTTTAGAATGAATGACAGGCAAATAACCGGAGGAAAGGGATATGATACCACTTTCTCAAAAAACGGTGTGCAACCTGAAATCTTGTGCCGAAGTTTCCAGTAAATACGAAAGTACATGACAAAGCTGTATCAGTGACTGCAGTGTCAATCCGCTGGTTATGCAGAGCGGCATGCTTGTTGCCCGAAGGATACCCGTGCGGTAGTGCATCATTTTAAGTACTTAGAAGATATATACCACCATAGGATGTGAACAGAAATACGGGCTTAGCGCTTCGCAGCACGCGTGTCCGACAGTATTCCCGCCATATATGGGGGCCGCATTAGAGTCTTTTTTTTAAACCCACGCACATAGATGGTCAGTATAAATTACTTTCCCTCAGGCTATGGCTCTCTGGAGAGTTTCGCAGGGAAACACAAGACCGGAACGATGCGGGGACTACTACAAAAGTGGATAGCAAGAAGTAGCTGTGGAGCGGCTGTGTTGACTCAAGCTCAAAGGCTCTGATGGGTGGTTCCTGCACTTAAAAACGAGGGAGAGCACCAACAGATGGCATTATAGAGCTTGTATTCTCCTGGCAGTGTGTCGTTCCTTGGCCTAAACGAAAATTTAAATCCCCTTCGCCTGTAATACCATGTCCTGCTTACTGCGTGCCCTCGTCAAGGTGGTGGCATTCTCTGCAAGATTGACTGCGAACGTATTGGGAAAATTGGGTAGTGCAGCAGCCAAAGCGGGTGCACGAGCTGGGAGAAGTTGTGGAAAGTGCGGAAAGAACGCCGGTAAAATGTGCCACAGACGTTCTGCCAAAGCCTGCAGGATTTTCACAAGGCACCTTCAGAAGGCGAGCCGAAAGTTCACTAGACGCACTCAGAGCTGCTGCAAGCGCTGCAGCAGGAAATGTCCAGATGCTCGTGCTCCGCTGCGGCGCTGTCCACGTACGAAGACTTGCAAAAAGTGCAGGATGCTCTGCAGCAAGTGTCCGGCAAACCCATTCAGGAGAAGTGTAACTTCTAATGAGTCAAAGTCCTTCCATCGCAGAACACGAAAATCCGTATACAAGCCTAAGCATAGTAGGAAGAACGGTACCTCGCGCAAGCTGCGGGACAGAAGCCATAAAGAGTTCAAATGCAGCAATAGTAAGAGCAGCAGTAAGGGGAAAACGCCTCAGACTAAGGAGCATTATCAACTTTCTTCGCACAGCAAAGAAGACGAGGGATCAAAACTCCAACAACGCACAATCCGTCGGAAAAAACACCCCCCACCTAAGGTCAGCAAGCGGCCTCGGCTTTCTAACAGCTCCCTAGCTAGTGTCAGCAAGGATATTATGCCGACAGCAAGTTCTGGAGTTAAAAGCGAGAAACACAAAAAACTAGCCGGCCTCAGTATAGGACTATCACAAGCCCGAAAAGAAGACGGATGGGAAACTTCCGTGGCACCGGAAGCCGCGATGTTGGCCGCAAAACGAACAACGTCGAGCGCGTCACTGGGGGGACGCGGGGGGGCAGTCGATAAGCAGCCGCATTCAAAATTGAAGCGTAAGAGCACAAAGCCCAAATCGAGGTCGCAAGCATGTCCAGCAGTTCTCACAGAGGATGTGCATGCAACTCGAGTATATTCGCAGAACAGAGGCAAAAGTGAAGGCAATATGCAGCATTCCCCAGACACAAGTAAGCAAACAAGGAACCTAAATACAATCCCTGTTGCAAAAAGAAAGAGAGTTCAGGAACAGATGAATTCCAACGAAGGTGGCGCGCAACTATCAACAATCAACAGCACACAAGGTATCAAGCAGCAGAAGCAAAAGAAACAGCATGAGCAGCCAAAAGCGGAACGCAAGCAGAAACGAATAGCGGAGGAAAGCGCTTCAGCGCAAACCCACGTATCGCCAATTCAAAACAATCTGCAAGCGAAAGGTTAGATGAGGTCGTGCCTGCTCAACGCAAAGTGGAAAGAAATTCAACAAAGCCATTCTAAGGCCACTTAAATGCCCGCGCCATAATCAAGATGTGTGTTTTTCTATGCTCTGATTACCAGATTTAGATGGGGAATCCGGAGGCGAAGACGGGAAACATGGAGGAAAACCTCAGTTGGCGGATACAGAGGAGCGTTCTTCACAGGCGAAATGCCGAAAATGCCCAGCAAATGTGAGTACTGCAGTTGCAGAGGTAGGCTGCTCCACAAAGGACGGCACTTCAAAGCAAAGAACTGCACAGCGGCGTAAGAAAAACGAGCCAGGTGATGGCAAGCAGTTCATTGTGCTTGACGCTACAAGCAAGGATGCCGCAGCAGATGAAGCGTTGGTAGAAAAACAAAAGACTAAAGACAGAAAACGCAGCTCCAATAAGAGGAAAGACCCAGAAGGCAGACCAATTGCACACACGCCAGAGGAGGATGCCTCGGAAACCTCCATCGGCCGCCTACACTCTCTGAAGCGCCGAAATGGCCCTTTAACTGAGCATCTCTGGACTAGATTGGAGCTGGAGGACGACTCCTTACCTGCTGCATGCACCTGTGAAACGAAACTGCCACAAGCAGCCAAGCCAACTGGCCCAACGCCAAAATGTGGCAAGAAACTAACCGAAAAGCAGCGAATTCAGAGTGCATGTATCTCTGCAATTGGACCTGGTGTGCAGTACGTCACACCAATTTCGCAAAGTTGCGACCCTGAGTGCTGCAGCGACGAACAGCTCGCAGATGAAGCAACGCTATTTGGCATCGAATGCAGAGTTCTTCCCGAGCCTACCTGCTTTGGAGAGGAGCCATGTCTCCCATGACAGCAAATAATCTGTTTTTAGTCGTTTATTTTGCAAAATGTGAATAAAATCTCTTGATCCTAGATTCATTCGCCTCCTCTCCCGATTTAAACTAATATGCCGTACGCAAAACTCTTTCCCGGCGAGGAACCTCGTTTTGATCAAGGCTTAACTTGTCTAATATGCCGGGAATGGGGAATTATGACGGTGAGGAATTGCCGTCAGACTAACGGCAGATTCCATGTACACGTTGGCTGAGTAGCCCTTATCAAATCGCCGAAGGTTTTTTAGTTGCACTTAAGCGCTGGCAAGCGGGTGGTATTGTTTTTATTCGTCGCTTTTGCATACCTACTTACACAGTATCTTCGTTCACTTAAGTGCCTCCACATCGGCAAATTCCGCGGTCCCTGTGCCTAATGGAGGCGGAAAAGGCTCATAAGGCTCCTAGTGTGCTCAACGCTTAGGCTTTGGCTTTCTTTTTTCCCTTAGTCTTCCGTAATGCGGCCTTCTTCAGCGCGACGTACTCTTCGCGCTGGCTGATTCCACGCCAGTACGACTGAAGGAGACACGCTGCAGCTGCCTTATTTGCCCGTTCTTCCTCCGCCCTTGCAAACACTGCCCTTGAAATTCGCGATGCATTTTCCTTTCTCTCGTTCTCCTCGTCAATTGCTTCTAGAGCTTTTGTCAGAGACGCCAATGACTCCTCGTCAGCCTTATTCTTCTGCCGCATTGATTGAATTTCTGCGAAGCAGTAAGATTTGATTACAAGAGATAAATTTATCTAATGCCTTACACTTTACAGTACAGAAGTCATTTTGGACCTCTATCTACAGGAGTTAGCGGCGATGCACGCATCTGGACTACACCAGCCCTTGGACCTGCTCACACAAGGGTAGGTTTTTTACCTTTCTCCTTCTGAGAGATGTCCTTGTCGAGGGCCTTTACAGCATTTTCCAGATCCCGTTTAGCTATCTTTTGGTTGCGAATCCTTGCGTCTATTTCTTCTCGCGCTGCTGCTGCCTGGTTGGCCCCACGCTTTTCTAACTGGGCTTTAAGAGCAGCTGCGTCGCCAGTCTTCCGTTGAAAAGCGCGTGTCTGTTGTGCGTCACGCTTAGCAAATTCCTCGTTCATCTGCCATAGGCGTTGTTCAGTGCTATTTTGGATGTCGTGCAGATCCGACTTCAGTTTAGCAATTGCTTCTGATGACCTAGCTGCATGTTTTTGCCTCTCAGCTCGGAGCTGTGCCAACTGTGCCTCTAGATCGGCACGGCGCTCTTCTGCTGACCGCTCCTGCTGAAGATACATTTGCAGGAGGTCTTCGTTAGCTTTCTCATCTTCCACAGCCGTTGTCAGGCGTTTGAGCATCACTTCCTGTGCAAAATGTGCGAAGAACACGAGAGCATGTTTCAATCTTCCATCCAAAGGTATGTTACATTCATACACGATACACTTCTGCCGGGCATGATGCTGCAATCGATTCTCATTTTCATTATAGGGTTCCAACGAAGGCGGGTAGGTCCATGGCTATGCAAAAGAAAATGAAAATAATTCCTCAACTTGACCAACCTGCATTTCTGCCAAAGCGTGCACAAACTTCACGGAGTTGACAGGCTTTGCTTCTTGCAGAGCTCGCAACTCTTGTACTATGTTAGGCACCTCTCTCATTTTCCTGCACAAATCCCTTGTGTTTTTTTCCAGTTGCTCAGCGATTTCCTGTAAGTCATCCATATCTAAAGAAGCTACGCCAGCTTCTTCGCTAGTTGCGGTGCTCCCGTGATACAGCTCTTCAAGCCTCGTTTGCTCGGCCATGCGCTTCAATACTTCAGGGCCGAGAATCTCGGCAACATGCCCAGAATCATTTTCCTGAATTGCCTCTAGAACCTGAATGGCAGAAGTGCACATTCCTCGCGTTGCGACGTATTGGAGAATGCATTCAAACATAAGGTGTTACGTGATTGCTTTTTCGAGGTTTTTCAGAGGTCCCAATCCAGAAAAAGCAATCCCAGGAAAATCCCCCTTCTTACTTGAGGGCTAACAAAGCTTAACAGTGTAAGCTTCTGCATTAACTCATCCATGACAGACGCAATTCGATGAACGTCGGAGCTTATTGGTTTCGCCGATGCCATTTTTGGACATCGTAGTTTCCCCCCAGACCTTTACAGCGCTTGTGAGCATGCTTTTGTGCACTTTTCATTCGGGTTTCTTTGATCATTTCATGGCTCTTCGCCGTGGCAAACACCTGCAGTGGAGGAGGATAGACAGTAAAGTGCATAGCACCGGACTAACAGCGGTGAATGCTCACTAGCGGGCCCTTCAGAGCCTTACTTTTACTCTATGGGTGGTAAAATGCTAGACAGGATAGTTTACCGCCCATGTTTGTGGACACTGATGCTGATCGCCAAGCCAGTGTCCCAAGGCCGGTCTCACAGGCAGGCATTATAGGGAAGCCGGTTGACACCCCCTGCATTAAGCCCCTTAAGGATTCCAGGCCGGAAATTAAAACAAAGCTCAAATCATTGGGGACGTGCATTTGTAATAACGGCGTCAGCGCTCAAACTTTGCGCAGGGGGCCCTGCTGAGGGATCGTGGCTCACGGAATACTTGCATGACAACAAATTCCGCCAAACAATTCCAAAGCTACAGAAGTTTTCGCGTGATAAAAAGGATGCACCTCCTGCAAGCAGTACTCCAATGCGGGGATTATGACTGTCGGCCGCAGCCATACATGGCTGGGAGGTAGACACCAGATTTTCGCCAGGACTGGCACACAGCGGTAGGCTCCCCCGGGGGCAAAGGCAATGAAATTATGTTATTTTCTGAGGAATACAAGGTTTTGCAGCTTTGTTATGCCCAAACTGTTCCATTTACAGGTTAGCAAGCACGTAGGCACTGCCAGACCACCGAATACGCCTGCACGTTAGAGCTGTCGGCACCACATGGAAATGTTCCGAATCATACCAACAGTGCACAGACCAAAAGTCATTTTCCTCTGATTTTTAGCTTCTTTGGGATCAAGTGTAGCAGCTGCCGGCATTGTGTGTTCAGCGTTATGCGCTGCACTCCTCGCTTGGGTCACTGCTTCCATCTTGCATCGGGCGGTGGAGTCTACCATCACTAGCACCAGCAGCTCGTCTCCCTATCTTCAAGAGCGTTGGGTGCCTTCCCCAGTAAATACGAATGCTTACAATCGAATCCCTCGCCGTGAGGTTTACACGGTATGCGGTTATTTGAAAAAGCCAGGAATGGTTGCCGGTGAAACAAAATTACTCGGAGAGATCTCCGAATGCACTGAACTATGGCAGTGAGCTTCTAGCTAGTACGATAATGGCAGCGAGCGCTGTCGAATTGATTATCTGTTTTCAACGCTTTCGGGTTCACCTGCATTCCTGCTGGTGCATTTCTAGAATGCCCAGCTGCTCCTGCATCATAGAGGCCCACTTTCCTACCACCTTATGAAACGAACAGTTACGGCTAGTCCCAGAGTTCACGTGTAAAGTGTTAGGAGCCTCTTTACGTCGGCTTTAGAGGACGAACAGCAGCAGCAACTAAACCCTGCTAGTATGCAGTAGGGTTTACTTAAGTGTGTGGTGCTAATTTCAGTGCACGTATCATGAGCGGTATCAGGTGCAGATTCAGCTAGCAGCAATGTGTGTGTTGAGCCTGCAGCCTGGTTACAGTACAGTACGCAAAGCCAGGTTCTCTTTCAAGTACGGACCATTGCATGTTCCTCCGGTGTTGAGTCTCACAATTGCTATACATAGCTGTAAGGATCCTTCAAAGTTTGTCTGGTGGTACTAGCTGACATGTAACCATTCCTAGCTGTGCGATGTATAATTGTTAGGTTTACTAGTTTGGCCATATCATACAGGCAGGTAGGCGAGCTTCCTGCTGGCGTGAATAAGCTTGCGCTGCCATTCCACACCTTGGTGTCACTCTCAGAATTCGGTGTAATGCTCGGCAGTGTACATTTCATTTAAATAACGCCACATATGTCGGGTAGTTTCCGATGGGGTTTGTGACACAAAATACCTAGTGCGAAAGCCTTACACATGATCCTGGTCCTCGTCCGTGGCCCAGTTTTGTTGTATACACAAGCCTAGAAATGCGAAGCAGATATCTTGCAAAACTTGCCCAAAAAGCCAACAAGCATTCGTTCAAGCCCTGGAGAGTACATGCGGTTATGAGACTGCAACTAGCATAGCAATCCAAACATTTAAAGGCTATCATCATTCTGTTTCTATATGATACTTGCAGACAGCCTTAACCGGGGTGAAGTAGAGGTTTTCCAGCTAATCATCAATGTTGTAGTGCCGGTACATGCGTATTACAGCAATCCCCTTTGGCATGGCTGGCCTTCTTCCAGGTAGGTACGACAAGTACAATACGTCCTGTTCATGGTTAGGGCTTTTATGTTCAATGTATAGAGTCGAGAGCATAAGATCACTACCAGCAGGGGCCGCCGTAGTCATCTGGAAATTCCCGTCTAACTGTCAGATTTCCACCCTGCATCTGGCTGACAAACTGCCTACATTAGCAGTGGCGTACATCCCGTCACAGCGACTCTATTTATTTAAACTTAGGTAACGAAACCAGACAGGCTTGGTGGTGAGGGCTCCACTATGTTTAATAGCTCCCCACAATACTGTCTACAGCGGTATCCTGCATACTGCGTTCCTGCAACAAAGACTAAGCTCTTGAGACAGGCCGGTGAGCATCAGGCGCATTACGGCTGCAGAAATTCCAAAGGCCTAACCTTATTTATTCAATCAAGGTATAATCTTAGCGAAAGGCAAGCTGAAAAGGGTGTTTGTCGCAACGCTGCCAGAATGATAATATTGATTATCTGAATACCACACATGTAGGAATTCCCGCTGAGCTACCTGTTTTTCATAGCACACAGATAGGAATTCCAGCTGAGCTACCTGTTTTTTATAGCACACAGATAGGAAATCCAGCTGAGCTACCTGTTTTTTATAGCACACAGATACGAATTCTAGCTGAGCTACCTGTTTTCTATAGCAGTGTTACCCTTTTATTTATGCAAGCCACACTCTTGCTGCTTTTGCCGGGGGGTTGACCCAGTTGCGCTAGGTGTCTAAGAGTCTCAAACATGCCCACCGTGGTACCGTACAATAGGATGTTAGGTTCGCACGCTGAAAGGTTTCAACGCCTAAGCTCTATGACCAGACGATGGCAGAAAGGAACAAAATAGAGGTCCCTTTCGCCTCTCTGGGTCACCCTAAACCACCTTCCGGCTTACAATCAATGACCTCGCTTACGATCGCCTACCCTTATTTATTCAATCAAGGTATAATCTTAGCGAAAGGCAAGCTGAAAAGGGTGTTTGTCGCAACGCTGCCAGAATGATAATATTGATTATCTGAATAGCACACAGGTAGGAATTCCCGCTGAGCTACCTGTTTTTCATAGCACACAGATAGGAATTCCAGCTGAC